CGATTTTTTTCCAGCCAGCGCATAAAGGACCGATGTCGGTGTGGGCAAATATTTTAAGATTTCAGTGAGTATGCCTTTCTTTCTGGGCGTCTTATAAAGATTTTACATTGTATCGGTGATTCCTACTCGAGGAGGCGGTCACAGGACATTGCGTGGGCTGCAGATGACCAAAATGCTACTGAAAAGTCGATATTAGTTCATCGGATTTAAAAAATACGGTGTTTGAGGCGCAAATTTTAGCTCTCTACCTCTACCAACCCCTCACCAATAAAGCCACTAATTACACCTTAACCAGTTTTTCATTTTCATCTATACAACTATCATGACGAATGATTTGGTAGGGTTTTTTAAGTGTCCCGACGTTTGAGGTCTGCTCTGTGGAGGTGGCGAATTTGTTGTGTTAATCGATGGCTACGAATAAGGTGATCATGTCACCATGCCTGACCCAATGTCATTCCGGGAATAAGAGGAAAGACACGAGTAATAGTCTTTTACTTTGTAGGGAAGCTTGTTGTTTTTCTGATACTTCCGCATGTGGTCGGCTGTAGGCTTTTAACTTTACTGAACAAAATTGAGGAGGGAGGCGTCATACATCTTAGCCTGTGGAATTAGTTATGATTTCCGAGGTTGGGGACGGCAGTGGTTTTCCGCCATCCGGCTGAATATGCGCTTGCTGCTTCCTGTCAGAAACTGTTCCTATGTGATTTCCGGCCTGGAGTATGTAGCAGTGCCGGGAGGTTTATCTGTACTTAATATGTCCACAAGTTATTATGGCCAGCATATCTAACCTCTCGACTTTCCGTAATGGACGCATGCAATCATCATCGCGATATTATTGACTGGTATTACTAGTCTTTGGATAGAAATTCATGGTTTCTCCGCCATGAAAGGGCGAGCGTCGAATCGTATCATCCTGAAGAACCAGAGGGGCCGCTGTAATAAGGAGGCTTAAACGAAAGTCAGTTTTGCAAGGTTTTTATTTTCCTAGAATGCGATTCGGTATTTCAGACTTCAGACAGACAGCAGGCGTCCACTGCGCGCCGTCAAACGTTTAGCACCAGGAACGAGGACCCCCTGCAAATGCCATCATGTGCTATCAATTATCTGTTCATTGAGAAGAAGAAGATGCGATCGCTGTGACAAGACTTTTATTCGCCTGATGTTTCGATATCCGCAGCGGATTCTTCATCAGAGACATCAGCAGAAAACAATAGTAGAAACGCGTGCAACATGCACAGGAAGTTGCAGTACCTATAGCTTACATTCATTACTGCACACTTATGATAACGACAATTAACAATAATTGCCTTCTTGTGCGTTACTTGCTTGATGAGCGGCATGCGGCATGCGGGCTGTGACCTGTTGAACTTGCATCATGCGTGGTGGAATTGGATGTGATGATTGTTCGGCCATCTGGTTCCCCGATATTGGCGTAAGACAACGCGGTGGCCCGTGCTTT